CATCTAGGTAGATATCTAATCGGATAAGATATAGATCATCTAGACGCTGGAGATAAGATATACGCCATGAAATTCTGTGACATTACTGCGTCAGAAGGACACAGCAGCGATCCTCAGGAATTTGTGGTATACAGCGACAACATAATCCAGCGACCCGCTAATGATGTTACTCAGCAATGGCAATCCATTCCTTTCGACACCTCCACCCCTGTCCAAGATGTCGATCCCTTGGAACGCATGCTACCTCACTTCCCTGGAGCTTATGCCACCACTGTTACTCGACCTCCTATGGGTGTTCCTATTGATGGCAACCCTGCATTCGGATTACGACGGGTGTCGACAACTGCAGCAGATGTCCTTCAAATGACAGAATCTGTGGGAAACTGGAACCAATCAGATAGAGAATGGGAGGAGGACACTTGGGAGTATCTGCTGACGCGGGATGATAATTTGTTGGAAAGACTTTGGGCCTCGCTACAAGACATCAAGGATCCTGGAGTGACTGATAAAGTCAATCGCTTCAGGGCTGTTGACGCCAAAATCGACTTACTACTGGCTACACGACGATCGGTAGGGGCGGAACTCATTTGCACTCAACAGGAGATGGACCAGTGCTGAGCACGTCTCCGAGCCGCTAATCTAGAGGAACACCTTGAACAACATGAGTTCTCAATTATCACTCCTCCCTCTGGTGCCATGCCTCGCCATCTTCGCTTCTGTACTAAATGCGAAACCGATGGTCACCTTCAAAGTGAGTGTTGGCACTGGCTATGCTCTTATTGCGGACTCCTCCATCCTCGTCACCAATTCCGCACCCATGCCGACATCCAGCCTGGACAACTCCCCTGTCCTACGGACAAACCCGGATACCTACAGGAGCGTCGCGCTCAATGGAAACTCTGACGACGAATCTAGAGAGGGGGGTAATGTTACAGCTTTGAGGGGGGGTTTTTCTTTCGTTTCCTACCATTCATCATTAACCCTGTAACTGTATGACTGATCCTATCAACTGATGTGTTTCACCTACATCAGTGTTTCATATCTATCATGTTTCACCTATATCATGTTTTACTTACATCACAATTCATCTCCATTGCAATTTCATCTTCATCACTGATACAACCCAGTGAAACCTGTTTCATGTACATCGCTGATCCAACTCAGTGTTTTGTTGAACGGATAGTGAACGCACCTACAAGTTCTATGTACAGAACCACTACAAACGGTTC